AACAAGTGGTATCAGCCGATCGTCTGATCAGGTGATCAGCTCGAGGGAGGCGTGTCCCACTGTTAGAGTGTGAGTGAGCTCGATGGGCCCACATAGTCCCACATTATTTAAACAAGAGGATATATCACACAGTTGTCTCCATTGGTAGAGAAACCTTTTGAGTGATGTTCAAAAGCAAAACTATGAGGACTTTGGCCCAAAACGAATAATATCTCACTGATATGGAGACATGTGTATGTGTGTGGTAATTCCTGGTGCACAACAAGTGGTATTAGAGCCGATCTTCTGATCAAGTGACCGACTCGACGAGTATCGATCTTCCTAAAGAGTGGAGGGTTAGGAGGCGTGTCCCACTGTCAGAGTGTGAGTGAGCTCGGTGGGCCCACGTAGTCCCACATCATTTTAAACAAGAGAATGGACATGTGTTTATATACACACAATTGTCTCCAATAGTAGAGCGACCTTTTGGGTGGTGTCCAAAAGCAAAACTGTGAGGACTTGGACCCAAAACAGACAATATCTCACCGATGTGGAGACATATGTATGTGTGTGGTAATTCCTAGTGCACAACAAGTGGTATCAGAGCCAGTCGTCTGATCAGGTGACCGGCTTAACAAGTATCGAAAGTCTTCCTATACTGTGGAGGGTTAGGAGGCGTGTCCCATTGTCAGAGTGTGAGTATGAGTGAGCTCTGTGGGCCCACATAGTCCCACATCATTTAAACAAGAGGATAGACATGTATTTATATACACAGTTGTCTCCATTGGTAGAGAGACCTTTTAGGTGGTGTTCAAAAGCAAAACCGTGAAGACTTGGACCCAAAACGAATAATATATCACCAATGTGGAGACATGTGTATGTGTGTAGTAAACTCCGGTGCACAACAATATATATATATATAAGGATTCAAACAACACCGATATAACTTTTACTAAATATTATACTGCTCAATAACATTATATTAAATGTAAATTTTGTAAATCTAACCACTAAATTAAAAATTCTTTACTCTTAGATCATATATACAAAATCTAAGATAATTTGACACTTCATTCTTATAAAATAAAAGTAATATAATATATAAATTTCAAAATATAATAAAATATTAACACTTAGATTACCTTCAAATTATTTAATTTTAACAAAATTTGATATAAACACATAAAGTAATATAAAGTTATAATTTAACAGTTAAATTTACAAAATTCACATTTGATATAAAATTATTAAACGGTATAATATTTATAAAAGTTATACCGATATCATTTGAACCCTCTTTTATATATATATATATAAAATGAATTTATTTACTTTGATAAAGCACATTGGTGCTTCAATTGCGTAGAAAGATGTCACACTGGCCAGGCCCAGATGGAAAACGGGCTGGACTCATCCCAGATGTAGAGTCCACTCGAGTTGGACCAGCATGGATTTCCCCTTAGCAAGGTAACCACACTAAAAGTTTCAAATGCAGGTAACCATCATTCTTATTTGTAAATCGACTTCTAACACACTTATGCAGGGTCACATGAACACTTTCAACATTTAATATCATTATATTGCATGGTTTCCACCAATTTAAGCACATTCTTGTATTATGCATTGAACAAAAGAATTGTAAGTTACACGTCCAATCCTTCCTGAAATATAAGTAAAACGTGATGATAAAAAACTAACATTATAGGTAGACCAAGATTATAGAAAACTAGCACCGTGGCTGTTGAACAAACGCCACAATGCTTTCCACAATCAAAGACTTGGTGAGAAAATGAAAAAAAAAAACAAAACAAAAAAAAACAAAAAAAAGGTAACCCTGTGGACACAGTTTTACAGGGTTTTTGGAACATTTATGTAAATGTAAGCATCTCACCAGGACAATGAAGTCACAAAAAGGGTAACAGTGCCAGCGATCCCAACTCTTGCTTTCATCACACTCTATTCACTCAAAATTCCCATCATGCATGTATATATATGATTGATGTATAAGTGACTAGAAGCAGGGGAGTACTATGCATTAGAATAATAGCTACCACTATTACTTAAAGAAGTTAGATGGACAATGGTTATGTCAAGTTACTTAAGAGCCTTGTCAATCTCTGCACACAGCATCATTTGTCTAATCTGAAGTTCGCTTTCTTCTGAAGACACCCCACAAATAATACTTAGCTTCAAATCCTGCCCACAAAGGATTAAAAAAACTAAAAACATTAAGTTCAACAGATAATTATAATGAAAAGTGTCAATGAAGAGTCCAAATAAATGAAGCTCACTCCAATAATGGATTGGAAGCATGATAGAAGGAAAAATTAAGAGCTCTGAATTTTTAGCTACAACTCTTATGGCAAGTTCAAAGTCAATGATATCATCAACCAGCGCGTCAAAGACCTTTTCGGCTCTGCAGGGAATAAATATTTAGTTTAGGCATATTAAATTGAAGAAAAAAAAGAGTAACATTGCGTAAAAGTTGTCTGAGAAAAATCACCCCTCACTGTCAGGAAAGATAAATAGCGCAATGCTCTTATCAGTTGTCCCCTCGCTCTTGAAACTTTCAGGCCACACCATAGATCTGGGAAGCAATTCCGAATGAAGCACCTCTGGTAAATGTTCTGTCTCCTCCACAACTTTGGAGCATGCTAAATTGGACAAATGGACCAGAAGTCCACTAACAGTACCAATAGTTTCATCACAGAAGTACATACTTCCCCTATTAACCAGAAAATTCAATTTCAAATGATATTCAGTAATTCACCAGTCACCACAATAGCTTATAGCTATAGAAATGCACCAATTTCAAATGAAGGTAGCAAAAAAAAATCTTCCGTACCTCCAGATTGGATCAATAATAGGCTGTGCATCAACATGACCATCTAATACTACACACCCTGAATCGTTATTGGTAACTCCTTGAGAAACTGGAACAGATTTGAAACCTACATCAGAATTAGCTACATCCCTTGGAGGTGGTCCACACTCATTTTTTACCTCACTTTCTTCTTCACAGTTGATGGTACATTGAGGATGTTCAAGCTCAGGTAAACTGTGACTATCAGATAACACGCCCTTTGTTTTAGCAACTAAGTCAGAATTAACTATTCCTTTCTTCTGCTTCTTTTTAATATTCTTTTTTTGCTGTTTATTGCGTTTCTTCACTCTCTCTGTGCAATGTTCTACTTTTCTCGTGGCATGGATTGCATTGTTTTTCAAAACTACAGACTCTTTTGTTTCAAATGGGAGAGGTGTAGATTGGTCAAGAGAAGGTGGCACTCCTAGCTTTGTTGCACAATCCTCACAAAACCATGTAACATCACCAGTAAAAATCACAGGCCCCTTTAAACAGTACCTGATAAAAAGGACAATTAAGAAGTCAAAGGTCAATTAAGGCCTTAAAGAACATGAAATCACAAATTTCCTATTTTATAAAACATTGGGAGAAGAAATAAGATTCAATTTAAAAGGGTATTAACAAAATTCTGTAGCATATCCATTAATAATCCTTTGGTTTATCCAAACCTAACTATAATGGGTGCACTCCCGAATCTCACTTTCAATACCACTAGAAATTTTAAGATTGTCTGTATGGCAATAAAAGGAGAGGCACAATCAGCTATGTACTGATGATAAAAACTAGCTAAGGAAATTAAACATGATTTTAAAACACTTTTATTAAAACCCAAAAGCATATCTATTCTATATACACATGTGATGCATATAAGAATCACTACATTTTATGTTAAACCATGTTATCAAGGTATTAATACCAAGCAGTGAGTTATTCCAATTATTTGTTGGATTGTCCCACAATAGAGAGTACAGTCCTACCTCCATTACTCAAACGGAAGTTCTAAAGAATGTCCAAGGGGCATTAGTGGTAGTGGCATTTCAGCTAAGTATGATGAGAAAAACTTACTATAAGTGCATCGAAGAATACAGAGAAAAAAATGGAGCAAACAATAAGTACCTATGCAGCGCATAAGCCTTACACTCGGTGCAAAAAACCAATGCCTCTGGTAAGCCTCTATTGCCACACTGGAGACAAACAGTTTCCTACAACAAGGGTAAAGAGTTTTACTGAATATGATTCATAAGACCACAAATGCAAATCCAAATATGCCCCCTTTCATACAATATTATAACATATGCATGCATATAAAAGCTGTATCATTAATTAGGCTTATATTTTAAATCATGTATGGATCACTGAAAAGAACAATTCCAAAACACTACTAACATTTTCCCCAATTTATGATCCAATATCTTTGCTAGAGATCACAATACAAACATTTGCACTTGCTGTTGCAAAAACCAACAACAGTAATCTCGAAAATTGTTACCAAATGAATAATTATTTGGATGTTGGCTTTATAACCATTAAATTAAACCGAGATTGATAATACAGTAGACCTTGTAGGAAGGAAGCATTCAAAAATTATAATTACACAACTATTCTTGCGATTGTTCTATCATGGATTATTAGATTTATAGCATGCATTACAGTTACCAAGCGAAATAATAGCACGATGAAACAAAGAGCATCTCAAGAAAAGCAAGAAAGAAACTTGTATGGTATCACCTAAAACCAATGCACCTTCCCAGAACAGACAAAGAAAGACCCACTAAAGAAACACAACAAAGTTTCAAATTTTATTCATAAGGGTAACATTTTCACAGCCCACAAAATAGAAAACTTGAATCATTACTCATTCGCGGAGTCCTCCAACGGAAAATGGAAATAAAAAGAGGAACAACAAAAAAAGAAAAAGGAAAAACTGACCATTTTGTTGTGAATGGATTGAAGATCCAAAGGGTTTAATTGGGTTGTAGAATATTGCACGTGTAAGGAGTGTTTGTTATATCTGTGAGTGAGAACTGAGTAAAAGACATTGAAACCACACCGATACCTGCCTTGGTATAGAACTGGAAAGATGATTGAGCCATATAGGCTTTTCTTTCCCTTATGATATTCAAAAAAAATTCTATTAGATGATTGTTTCGCCTGATCATAATATATTCTCTTTCCAGAATTGATATAATCAAGAACATTATTTTCGAAAATAGTTAAAAATATATTTGATTAAGATTAAATATTTTTAAAAATATTTTAAAGTTTAAAATAATTAAACTAAAAATAAAATCAAAATTAAAGTTATAATTAAATTAGATAATAATTTCCTATTTTACAAAAAAAAAAATTCCTAAGTTTCTATGAGAAATTTTTTTTAATCTTTTTATTTGGAAAATTAAATGACTTAAAATATAAATAACTACTTTTTTAAATATTTAGAAATTTTCAAATGTAAAACAATCCAGCTGAAAAAATATATTATTATCTATTATAAAAGAAACTTTTGTATATAGATAATCATCACTGTATTTATTTATTTTTGCCTAAATTTAATCGATTTATCATAGAAAAAATATATATTCAGTTATAGTAATTAAAATAATTACAATGAACATATATTTTGATAAAATCAATCAATTAAATCATTTCAATTTATAAATATTTTAATTTAATTAATATTTTAACATATATAAAATACAAATATATTTATTATATATGATTAAAAATTATAATAAATTATATTATATTTAAAATTAATATACATAAATATTTTAAACATATAAATTATATTTTAGATTAAAGATAAATAATTTATATTATGACAAAATTAATTATTTTTATTTATTGATAATTTATTTTAAAATATTAATATTTAATTTATAAATAGTTGTGATAAATAAAAGTTAAATTAAATAAGAAGTTAAAAAAATTTCTACAAATTCTCTTATTAAAAAAAATTCCAAAAAGCACTCGTCCAAGATTGTGTTTAATATAAGTGTTGATATAATAATTATTATACTTTTTATTTTTAAATTATAATTATTAAGATTATCATATTAACTATATATTTATTAAATTAAATTAATAGACCTTTGTAAATTTGATATATATAATATAATATAATATTCAATTATTAATTTTATGAAATATTTTTATAATTATAATAAATTTTTATTTATTATCACAATTTTATAATAATTAACCATAAATATATATATATATATATATATATATATAATGATATATACATATTTTGCTTCAATACAATATTTTAATCAATTTATTATACTTTTTTTCCTTTAAAAAATATAATTATTATACAAATATACATTATGATTATAATTATAATATTATAAAAGAAAAATAAAATAAAATAAAATAAAAAAGATTTTGTCACATCAACAATTTCGACGGATATATGTTCTGATTTAAATTAATTTAAGATAAATAAAATAATATAAATTAATTAGAATAATTACGATTAATATTTTTCTTTCTTTCTTTCTTTTGACCACCCACTGCGCACACCATTCTTATCTTATACATTTTGAGATAATAAAATAGGATCGGAGAAAAATCATAAAATAAGAGGAATTATACTATACTAAAACAGCGAAACAAACTTACAAAATTTTAAAATTGCAAACCAAAATTACTATCATTCTATTACTCTCTCATTCTATCTGATTTACCCGAGAAAAAAAAAAAAAAAACTTCTGAAGTCTATTCTATTGTTCTCAAAAATAAAAAAAAAATTGGGTTTGTTTTCAACTTTTATAATAATCTCTCAATTTTTCAATTCCATTATTAAATAGCTGGAGATGACAGCCTACCCTGAGATGTATGCATAGATAGAGTAATTCAGATAACTTGGAAGTTGGAAACAAGTGCTTAAACCTGAAAATGAATCGTAGTAGTCTGACACAACAATCGATCATGTTCATTTATAATAACGTGATCACAGAAAAGAATCTACATGTATTTGATCCATGTTGAAAAGTGTGTGACTCTATAACTCTAATATGGTACGGAAAAATAGATACCACATCAGAATCAGAACTCACCACCACTAGAAACAGCTACTGCCAGCACCTTTACCTTAGTTTCTATAAATGTTGCTATCAAGTGGAAACTTCTTATGAGTCATACATCTTTTACTACTGGAACATCAATAGGATTGTCTGAGAAAACCCCCACTTTTGTTAATTTACTACTTCACAGGTCCAAGAGATATCTTCTGGCAACTTTTCCAAACAGTGACTGGAAAACCAAACAATAGAGTACAGCCAATGCCAGCTTATATTAAGCCATTCAAATGATATGCAAAAGAATATCAACCAATAACATATAATTGGAGTTTGTAAATTTACCAATTATTATATCCATAAACATATTTTCATTTTTCAAATGCGTTTTAGTTGACTTAATTAAAAACTATTGCTTAACAGATAACATTATCCTTGTTATAGGTTCATTCATCTTATCTAAACCAGGGTATTGGTAACCAACTGTTTTGAATAAATTACGTAGTAAAACAGCAAAACTGGGTCGATCAATATGATTAAATGGTCCTTGCAGGATGGCAAAGTCTAAAACACAAAGTCGCTAAGTTCAATTGGATATTGTTATTAAACAAGAAAACAAGTATTTTTTCCATCTGGCTGATCAAAGACATGCTACATTGTTCAGATTCCTGCACACAATATTTTCTCACAAATCAAGACTCTAAAATAATCTGAGTTCAATGTACAAATCCTAGTAAAACTGACTTCTAGGGGTCAAATAAGGAGCCTCATCTGTGCTGAGCCAATCCCCAACAACAACATTCTGTGCCTCAGGCGTATCATTAGGACAAATATGCCCAATTTTCACCCTTGGTTTACTGAGAGGCAACAAAGGAAGTGGTGCTTCCTTCTTAAGAATTCTAGCTGCTTCTCTCACTCTTGGCCTCTTCTCATAGTCAGGGTGCACACAAAGAAGACCCACAAGTAACATCCTCTCCATCTCCAATGCATCAAACTTCCCCATCAATCTTGGATCAGCAGCCTCAATGAGCCTCCTCTTTTCCCACAAGCTCCACACATAATCCGCAACCACAGTGCCATCATCCTCCACAGGCTTCCTCCCAGTTGCCACCTCCAACACCACCACCCCAAAACTATACACATCAGTCTTCGCAGTAGGAACACCAGAATAAACATACTCAGGAGCCAGATACCCCATTGTCCCCGCTGGTATAGTAGCATCCCTTGTGCTACAACTGTGCTCATACACTTCAGCCAGCCCAAAATCCCCAAGCTTGGCATTGAAATCCGCATCAAGCATTATATTGCAGGTCTTGACATCCCTATGAATGATCTGCCTCTCACACTCCTCATGAAGATAGGTGAGAGCAGAAGCCACCCCGAGAACAATATTTAACCTTTGCCTCCACGATAGAACAATACAAGAACCGAAGTTCCTGTGTAAAACCTTGTTGAGGCTCCCATTGGGGAGAAACTCATAAACCAAAACCAACTCATTCCCCTCACAGCACCAGCCCTTAAGCTGAACCAAATTCTTGTGGCGCAAGTAACCCACCATGGTGGCAAACTCCGTGGCGAAAGGGTTGTGCAAACAGTCCAAACCACTACCCTCCCTCGCAAACCTCTTGACCGCCACGTCACCTCCAAAGGGAAGGTACCCTCTATAAACCTTGGCAGAAGCACCCTCTCCAACAAGCCTATCTCGGTTAAACCCCATCGTAGCCGACTTAATCTCCGAAAGCGACAACCTTGTCGGCACTCTATTACTGGTGTGAATATTCCTACAACTCTGTCCACCTTCCCTAACACCCTCTTTCTTCTTTGTCAAGAAAACACAGACGACGAACATAGCCGCCAAAAGAGACACCACAAACGCCGTCAAGCCTCCCAAGCCAAGAACCATTTCACCGATCTTTTTCCTCTTCTGAGTCTGAAGATCGGAGCGTGAGGAATCATGGTCTTGATAACAGAAGAAACAGTCTGCATCTTCAGGAGAGTCGTCGTGGTCGTGGTCGTCGTAGTAAGCAAAGGTGTTGAAGTGGCAGCGGTGAAGAAGGTGGAGACTAGAGCCTTCCCCATTAGAGGCGGTGAATCCGACGTGCATGAAGTGGTTGAGGGTTTGGGAGAGGTCGAGTTGGGAAGAGAGAAGGGGAGAGGGGGGTCGGGTGGTGGAATAAGAAAGCCAGACGCGGAGGAGGTTGAGTGCATGGGCGTAGTGGATCCATGCAGTGATGAGTTTGTTGCTGGTGAGGGTGATGCCTTGGGAGGAGGCGTCGGCGGAGAGGGAGGGGAGGGAGGAGAGGTGGAGGGCGAGGCGGTTGCGGTGGCGGGTGGTGTCGAAGTGGAGGGCGAGGAAGGGGAGAGGGGAGGAGGGGAGGCCGAGGAAGCCGGGGGCGGTGGGGAAGAGGGGGGAGGGGGCGATGAGGAGGGGAGGATGGAGAAGGAGAAGCGGGAGGAGAAGGAGGCGGTGGCGTTGGTGAGGGGGTCGTGGAAGCGTATGGGGTCGCTGTAGAAGGCTCTTCCTGTGGATGGGGAGCATGTTGTGGTCGTCAGGGCTATGCCGTTGGGGGTCAAGACTGCGTCACCGTAGAGGCTCATGCTCATGCTCATGCTCATGTTGTCGGAGGAGAGGGTGATGGAAGGGACCCACAAGAGGAGAACCAGGATCATCAGAACTGAGGGATCATACTGCATTGTAAAAGAGAGCTTCTTGGAAATAATCGATCATTGCTTTCATTGTCTTTCATATTCTCCTCTTCAACATACAATATAACCAACTCCACCAAACAAACCATTAGTCAACTTTAGGCATCGCATCGGGGCGGGGCGGCCGCCGCTCACGATACCGGCTGGGGATAAAATCTAGGTCCCCATCCCCGTTCCCGGCAGGGTTCAGGTTTCCCTTTTTTTTTTTAATAAATATGAACAATTTAAAAAAAAAAAGATTCTTTTAAATAAATATGAACAATTAAAAAAAATAAAAGAAAAGAAAAATAATATAAATTTTTATATATAAATATTTTTAATTTTGGTTTATATATATATATAAATAATTTTTTAATTATATTATTAAGCGGGACGGGGCGGGGGCGGGGTGGGGTGAGTATTAATATCTTCGTCCCCGCCCCCGATTTTATCAATCGGGAAAAACTCGAACTCGAACCCAATAAACACGAGTTTTTCTCGCCAAATCGGGACGGGTTCAGGCAGATACCCACGGGGGGCGGGTTAGATTGTCATGCATAGTCAACTTATCATTTTCCTTTCTCTTCTTTACCCAAATTCCCTTTCTTTATTTACTTATTTATCTTTTTACTCAAATTTATATATTTCTTTTAAATATTTTTTTAGTATATTACAATGAAGATTGAACCTAAATCCTCATATTTCTAATTACTACAACCTCTCCTCACCTAACCACTAGACTTAATCTAGTGGTTAGATATAGAAAACGTTTTAAAATGATTATAAAGTATTCTCTAATTATTTAACTTTTCAAATCAGAAGAACTAAATAAAACAAAAAAAGAAATTGGAAATTTTCCACTCTACATTATAAAGTTGGAGCACCAATCATCCACAATCGCATGGCCTGTGGATCACCAGAGTCTAAACAATAATACCTTTGCGGGCTGAAAGTTTTTTATTGGCCCAATTCACTTATTCGTAGAATGTGCGGGCTTTGTTTATGAACTGATTAATTTAAAATATTTATAAAAAAAACCCTCTAAAACTATTTTCTTAATTTTTTTAAGTACACAAACTATTTTGATTATTTAATAATCAAACATAAACATTTTTAATTTAAGTAGTAAATTATATTTTCATCCTCTGAGATATGCATAAATTACAATGTCTCTTCTTTTAATTTTAAAAACTGTAATATTTTTTATTTATTATTCTAATGGAACTAAACTTCTTAATGATAATGAAAAACTATAAATAAGCCTTCCAATAACATTTTTCGCTCGTTCTAATTTTTTAATGGAATTACGTTCGTGTAAATTTTAACTCTAGACTCCTTATTTGAATACTTTATTATCAACTTTAGTCTTTTAGAGACTAAAACTAAAATTTTTAACAGCCTTATTATTTAGTCTTGAACTTTTTTTTTTACAAAAAAAAAATTTAAATATACTGGAATCATTATTAAACTTCACCTAAAATGCAATTTCATTTTCTAAATTTTAGAAGTCGTCAATATCAAAGACTCAAAATTGCTATTAATGATATGAGAAAGAGAGAGGATCCTAAAAAATAATAGACTTAAATTGTTTTTTTCTCTTCGGATCCATAAAAAATTATAATGACCATGATAGAATTCAAAATTTTAAACCTACAAACTATGTATATGTTATCTCAACTATCTACCATTGGATTGATCTAATAGCTCAACTTAAATTCGTTTAAAATAGACTAAGTGTAATTTTAAATTTTTTTTTTAAGAAATGATAACTCATTTTTGTTACCTTTCTAATAGAAGTTATGAAAAATAATAAATTATTTATTAAAACTTAAGTTATTCTAAATAAATATTAAAGTATAACGATTTAAGTATTTATCATGAGGGATTTTTTTAAAATACAAGGATGATTAATTAAGATCAATTTCAACTATACAATTCAAATAGATGATTGAGGTTAAAACTAATTGGAATAATCTTAAAGGTGTGTTTGGTTTCACATCTAACTCTTTATGATACAAGAAGTAAAAAATAATATTTTTTGCATATTTAATCGAACTTGAAGAGCTTTTTCTCGTGACACATGTATTTGGTTTGGGTGTGTTAACTAGTAAAAAAATGAATTATTCATTTCGGTAATAGTAATAAAAATAAAACTACTTGCACTTTTATTGAATTAATAAGTGGTGAAAATGGGACACACTACTTGTTGCATGCTATTGAAATTAATTTGTTAAATTTTTAATTATATATAGGAATTAAATTAAGCACATATTTGAGTTAGTAGCAATAACAGTTAGTACTACATTTTAACAAGTTTCTACGACAGAGGAAGGTTAGTATAGCATATTATTCAATGCACTAATTATATGTAACTACTCTGTACTTGAAAGATGTAGTCATTTATATTGTTCAACTATAAATGGAACAAAAATTCTTGAAAAGGTATGCCTTCATTGCCGAATCATCCGAATATCTTGTTATAAAGTTCTGGCCATAAAAATAAATAAATGAAGGCATGGAAATCAACAAAGTCAAAATCACACGTTAACATTAACATAGTAAAATGAACGCAAATGGGCAAGTTTTTTTTTTTTGGGTATATTAACCTGACGTATGATGTTACAAAATATTAATTGTTTCAACCTATTTAAAAGTACTTGCTCTGAAACTATTGAGTGGAATCACTTTAACAAAGTGGGGGCAACTAAATATAATTGTGTGTTTGAGTGTTGTGACTGATAACAGTACTAATTTCTTTTCTCTTTTTGGCCATGGTCATGGTTGATCTGAACATATTAAAGGTAGGTTAGATGCTCCAAGTTCTTAGCTATGTGCAAGCCTCATATGGGTTAGGTGCCCCACCATTAGAACCCATTTTATAGCTTTACATAAATAAGTTAAATTTAGAGTATAGGGTTGACGTAATAATATGTCCGGTTAAATTTAGAATGTACTCAACATGGAACAAGGTATGCTTTATGGTATTATTGTTGACGACGACAACAGTCACCTATGAGTAAGACAACAATAGGCAAAGCAATGGCAACAAAAGAAATACAGGATTCGTGTTAGGAATGTTGCAAGCACTCCTGGTTTGGCCCCTCAATACAAAGTTGAGTTTAGCCTATCTTTTCTCTCTCTATGTTTCAACTGGGTCACGGGAAGTTTGGATGAGGTGGGTGCTACAATGCCCAAGGCCCATTGCTAAAGTTTATTGCCAACTTGGATGCCACTTTTATGTAAATAAATTAAAATTATTATATATTGATGAAAAATTTGTATGGTAAAGTTACAACTATTTTGGTTCAAGTTTGTTTGTTTGTTTATATTTTTAGCCTATTAGTGGATTGACCATATAACCAATATGCTATATGCATGAGTTTTACACCAAACTTTTGATCGCAATATAGATTTTTTTTTTCATACTTGTATGTTTTTAAAATTTAGTTTATCATATCCTATTTTTATATAAAGGGACTGCGATGATTATAAAGTATAGATGGGTTTGTAGAAGTGAGCAATGGTAGTCATCGGATGATTGAAGGTACTTTTGGACATTTTGTGTTGTCCTTACATGATAGTTATAAATAGTTGTGCTTGATTTGTACTTAGGATGCATAGTTTACTCTTACTAGATTCCTCTGTGTGTGTATATATATGTGTGTGTTTATGTTGTTTATATTCATATAGTTGTTTTACTTTTATATGCATGTTATATATTACATATCTAATTATTAGTGAATGTATGACTTAAAGTAGTAGTAACTCCTTTTTAAGTGGGTGATTTCACGAAGTATAGCGATCATGATGGATCATTACATCGTAACTATTACATGCGCGTACCCATTAACAATACTCATTTTTTATTTATGACAAATATTGTTTACAAATACTGGTGGGTGCAATTTTTTTTGTCCTCCTTAACTGTTACCCACAATAGACTTTTAGTCTCAATTGTCTCTTGATAGTGAATCAAATTCATTTTACTCTAATATATATTACAAATGTCATTATAACTTATAAAATTACGATATACATTATTATTATATATGGTGTGATTTTTATCAACTTGATCACTAGAGTTTATTTGACATGTACCCATCCATTTTGCACAACAAGTCAATCACGTCAAAGCATCAACTTACCTTGAGAAAACTTGAATTTTGACCGATTGAGCTCCTCATGATCAACACTCATAAAGAGTATGGTATATGGGTGTGCAAAAAAATCCAAGTCGATTCGAATTGCTCCATAACTAATCTAATCCATATAAAAAAATAACTTTGAGCCATTTTGAAAAGAAATCCAAACTAATCCTCTTTGTAAAACAGATTCGTTTATCCGATCCATTTTTAAAAAGTGAATTGGTTTAGTTTAGTTCAATTATTTAAAAAGAATTGATCCATATATGAGTATAAAGTGAATAACCATATCACACCAAACCATTCCACTTTAAAAAAAATATCCATATTTTTAAAAATCGAACCGATCTACTTTATAAAAAAAATAGATCAATTAATCAATCTATTTTTAATCGATTCGATTTAGATTTTTCAAAAATCTGATCCATTAACACCCCTAATATAGTCCAACGTCAATTATCCATCTCAAATGTGTTAGGAATCCACCTTGAACATATCATCCCAACCATATAAAAAGGTTGGGTTTAATTTATATATACTATATTTATAAAATATTTTCATAAACATCAAATAATATTTGACTATTTTATCGTGTCATCTTATTATTAATATGATATGATGATTGGATAAATTTTTAATATATGTCTAAATAAAAGTGGTTTACATTAATAATATATGGAGTAAACATTCAATTTGGTCTTTAAAAGATGATAGAGGTAGTCAATAGGTTCTTAAAAGATTTTTTATGATATCTAAATTCTTAAGTTTTAACTTTGTTATACAAGTTAGTTATTTTGATATACTTACTAACTTTGTTAGTCTTATGACCAGACAACAATTAATTATCACATTGACACATATTCTCTCTCCCATATGGCATGTAAAATTACAAACTAGGTAGATTTATATATATGGTATAGTAAGGTTTATATTTTAATTTAATTTAAAAATAACTTAAGTGACGTTTGAATCACTTGTTTCTTCCC